GTGTGTTGATTAAAATTTTTAAAAATATATATATCTTAAAAATCAGTGCATTCCTTCACAGAAGAAGAAATATGATCAGTCAACAAATATATGAAAAAATGTTCACCATCTCTAGCAATTAGAGAAATGCAAATTAAAACTACACTGAGATTTCACCTCATTCGAGTCAGAATGGCAATTATCAAGAATACATGTAACAATAAATGTTGGTGAGGATGTGGAGGAAAAGGTTCACTCATACATTACTGGTAGGGTTTCAAATTCGTGCAACCACTCTGAAAAGAAGTATGGAGACTCCTTGGAAAATTTGGAATGGAACCACTATTTGATCCAGTTATCCCACTCCTCACCATATACCCAAAAGACTTAAAATCAGTATACTGTAGTGACCTGGCCACATCAATGTTTATAGCAGCTCAATTCACAATAGCTAAACTATGGAACCAGCCTAGGTGTCCTTCAACAAATGAATGGATAAAGAAAATGTGATATATATAAATGAAATATTACTCAGCCATAAAGAAGAATGAAATTATGGCATTTGCCAGTAAATAGATGGAACTGGAGACTATTATGCTAAGTGAAATACTCCAATCCCCAAAAAACCAAGGGCCAAATGTTCTCTCTGATATGCAGATGCTAACGCACATAAAAGGGGGAAGGAAGAATAGAAGTTCATTGGATTAGACAAAAGGGAATGAAGGGGGAAGGGAGGTAGGATGGGAATAGGAAAATTAGTAGAATGAATCAGACACAACTTTCCTATGTTCATATATGAATACATGACCAGTGAAACTTCACATCGTGTAGAACCACAAGAATGAGCTCCTAATTACAATAAGTTATATATATACCATATATACACTCTACTGTCATGTATATCCAAAAAGAACAAATCAAAAAATCAGTGCATTCACCTTCATTCTGCATCCAGGATCCTTAAATCTGAGCTGGACACGAGGTTTACATACATTATATCACTTGATCTCTCCATATCTTGAGAGGGAGGAGGTAATATCATCCCCATTTTACACATGAGAAAGTTGATCCTTATAACAGTAAAGTCAATGGCCTAACATTATACCACCACAGTCAGAACTGAGATCCCTTTCAGAGGTTACTCTCAGTTCCTAATTGTGGGAAGCCATTCTCGCACGTGATTGAGCACCTCCCTGACTGGGTGTGAGGCGTTCTGGCCAAGCTGTGTCAGAACCTATCCCCACCCTTTTCAGGTGCGAGAGCCCATCCGTGTGGGGGTGTGACTGACCATTGACCCTGAGACCAATCACTGACCCTGACCTTGGAATGCTGTCCCCCTCGACCTTCATTGGATGGAATTTTCCCCTGAATTTCTTGTTCCCCAATAAAAGGCCACTCTCTGGGATTCTCTTCATCTCTCCTGCTAGTCTCTTGTGTAAACCTCGCAACCCACCGGGTGGCTCGAGGCAGGAGCCGGGGAGTGCCGTCTGAGACCTGGTCAAGAAAAAGGTAAATTGAGTTTATGTGTGTTTATTTTGATCTCACTAGTTAACTTCTATGCTTAGAACCTCTAGTATGAAGCTAGCGTGCTGGTCGCGCGGCAGACCTAATAGTTGTTTATTGCTGCCATTCATGTGTGGTCCAGTAAATGGGTAATTATAGCTCAGATGTGTGCTCTAATACAGGATTGTTCAAGGTTCTTCTGTCTCATCTGCTAATTGTTTGCTTGGGCTTGAAATTGTGAAGAGAACGGGTACACTGTGGTAGGCAGAGTAATAGCCTTCCAAAGATGTTCCTGTCCTAAGCCCAGAACCTGTGAATATGTTCCCTTACACAACAAAATGGACTTTATAGACATGATCAAGTTAAGGCTCTTACAAAGAAATTCTTTACTAAACTACCACACAGGGACCAAAGAATTCATAATGTTCTCTATAAATGAAAAGGAGAGGGCTGGGGTTGTGGCTCAGTGGTAGAGAACTTGCCCAGCACATGTGAGGCCCTGGGTTCAATCCTCAGCACCACATAAAAATAAATAAATAAAATAAAGGTATTGTGTCCATCTATAACTAAAAAATATTTAAAAAAATAAATAAATGAAAAGGAGAAAGAGAGGAGGTGCAATGATTGAAGCAGAGGTCAGAGTGATGGGATTGCTGGCTGTGACACAAACCAAGGAATGTGGGGGGCCTCTAAAAACTTGAAATAACAAAGAAACAGATTCTTCCCTACAGCCTCAAAAAGCAATTAAGCCTACGGTTGTGGTGGTGCACACCTTTAATCCCAGTTGCTCAGGAGGCTGAAGCAGGAGGATGAAGAGTTCAAAGCCAGCCTCAGCAACTTAGCAATTGCTAAGTTGCCCTAAGCAACTATTTGAGACCCTGTCTCTAAATAAAATACAAAAGGGGGTGGGGTGTGGACTGGGGCTGTAGCTCAGTAGCTCACTGGTAGAGTATTTGTCTTGCAGGTGTGAGGCACTGGGTTCCATCCTCAGCACCACATAAAAATAAATAAGTAAAATAAAGGTATTGTGTCCATCTACAACTAAAAAATAAATAAAAAGGGCTGGGGATGTGGCTCAGTGGTTAAGTGTCTCTGGGTTCAATCCCCAGTACCAATACCAAAAAAAAAAGAAAGCAATTAAGCCTCGTTGACATCTTGATTGTAACCCTGTAAGACTCACTTCTGACCTCCAGAACTGTAAGAAAATAAATTTGTGTTGTTTTAAGTCACTACATTTGTGATAATTTGTTTCAGCAACAATAAAACACCAATACTTGTGGTGTTTGACACTCAGGTCCCTCCACTACATGGGGCCAAAATTCACGCAGCAATGATTGGAAGTGCTGCCCCTTTACCAAGCGGTGCTGTTTTGGTTATAACTCTCAAGGTTGAAGAAAGGGAGCTGCTACTGATCCTGAGGTTCTCAGAGCTATCCTCACAAGTTCATGTGGAAAGACCTCACAATCTCTAGAAGCTTCCTTTTTGTTCTCTTAATAGCACTAGAATATCTTCAAATTCATTATTAAATCACCTATTGAGTACCTACTATATACCAGGCTCCAGAAATTCAAAGATGATAAGGACTCAAATCCTCAGGCACTTACAGTGTATTTGGGTGACAGAACATGTAAACAAGTTATTATAATGCAACAAAATATGTTCAAAGACAAAAATATCTTCAGGCAAAAATTCCTAGAGCATGAGATCCATTAACTTAATCTGGGGAGTCGAAGGGGGACAGGCTTAGAGAGGGATTGATATCAGAACGGGATATATGTGTATGTGAGTGTGTGTGTTACATCTTTGGAATCCCCAGTTCTGGTGGGAGAGATTCTGAAACCTGATCTAGGCCTGTTCTCTGCTGAGGCCGCTGCAAATCTTCCAGGATGGAAGGGAGGGATACCCTGAGAGGAAGAGACTGGAAAGAATGGTTGTGGATACCCACACACAGCAAATGATCAGTGTCCTGAGAACAATTCTTCATGATTTTCTTGGAAATTCAAGAAAGAGAAAGATTTCATAAACTGTAATGTGCCAGCTTATTTATTTACTTGGGATTTATGCTTAGACATTGGGAAATTTCCTCTTCATTTCTAAGTTAATCTTCCAATTAAGAAAATAAACGCACAATATGGACATAAAAATAAGCCTGTTTTTCATGAGCAATACCTAACATACTACACACACACACACACACGTATTTGTCACACACTCCTCATGATTTTCTATCCCTAAACTTAATTCTGAGACACATACACACCAGTCCTACTGAACACCGACAGACTCAGAAACTAAATTTTAAAGCTGGAAAGGATCTTAAAGATAATTTAGTGAGAACTTGTACAGACGTAGAATGTGAGGTTTGGAGGGGATAAGAGATGGGGCAGTACCATGAGTAGCATTCAACTCTCCCAAATCTGCCCCCTCAAAGTTCTGGCTTACACACCACACTTCTGGTTCCGTTTGCTTCAAGATTCACCTGAGTGATTCAATTTAATAACTCAGACAATGACAATTCTACATTTTTAGTACAGAACGTTTTCACAAAATACATTTAACTTTGATTAGAGTTTTAAATTCAATCTACCAATTTTACAAATAAAGTGAGGCAAGAATGGTAAAGATTTAGGAGAAAAGGTAGCACCTGCTTTTCATTATAATCGTTAAACATAGTGTTTAATTTGTAACGCGTTCATTATAAACTCATAAAATGTTAAATTTTATGAAAATTTCCTCAAGATATAAAGTGACAACTTTTCTATGATAAATAAGATGTATTTGAGAAGCCGTCTCGCCTCAGCCGGACAGGCTTTAGAATCCCTTCATTCTGATTGCCAAGAGGGAGGAATCTCCACTCCTGGGTTCATTTATCTAATGTCAGCCGTCATAAACTGAGGCATCAGAAGATTCCTAACAGCGAGTGCAACCCGCTTCCTAGGAGTCTAATACAGAAAAGGATATCACCAAGGAATGCTGCTACCTATCATTGTTATTTCGACTACAGAATTTTGAAGTTATTTTTCGCGGGTGCCTATTATCTGGTTTTTGCAGAGTACGTCATTTACTCTCATTTAGTAAGGAAAGGGTTATAAACAGTTCACACAAATTTGGTAGGGTTCCAAAAAGACTCGAAACGTTGAGATTCGGCACGTTGGGGTGGAAACCAAGAGCGAAAGAACGAAAGACACCTCCGCGGGCAGTTCTTCACATACACACACGACCCCAGCAGCAGCGCCCCGCGGAGGCAGGGTAGAAACGCCCCTCTGGGAGTCGGGCGCTTTCTCCAGCCGGCCGATGGGCGGTGCCCGATGGCTGAAGGCGACTCTGCCAGGCCCCTGGGCTCGCGTCACCGCTCCGCAGCGGCCCGGGCCTGCTGGCTTCGCGCTCCGGGGTCAGACGGAGGACGCGGGCGGGCTGGGGGCCCCCCGGCTGCGAGGCGGAAGGGCTTGGGAGCGGGGCGGCGCCGGCGGGGGACGGGGCGTGCCCACGTGACCGCCCCGCCCGCCTCCTGCGGCCCGCCAGCCCCGCCGCCTCCTCGGGGCTGCAGCTCCCGGCGTGCCCCGCACTCGCAGCCGCCTGCCTGCCCGCCTGCCCCTCCTTCTCCTCCTTCTCCTCCTCCCAGATCCACGGAGCCGGAGCAGCTGCCGCAGTCACAGCCGCGGGCACTATGGTAAGGCGGGCGCGCCGGCCGGGAGACTGGGGCGCAGCAAGGAAGCCCCCAGAGCGGCCCCGCACGACCCGGGGAATGGGGCCGCCATTTTAACCAGTTTTTGGCCTCCGAGGTGGGCGCTCCTGCGCTGTAGCCCCGCAGCAGCCCCGCTGCTCTCAGCCGGCCGGCCTGCCCTCCGCAGTCAGGCCCAGCCCTGCTGCTCTCGGGATTCTTGGGGGCGGGGAGGGCCCGGGAGTGCGCGGGGGGGGGGGGTGGGGGGGGGGGTCGGGGCCGTGCTGCCCGGGCTGCAGGAGGTTCCAGCCCCCCAGGTGCCGCGTTTGCCCTTCGCTTCCTAATTTTTCTTAACACGCGCGCTCTAAAATTGGTAGGTGATTTTCAGGCTTCGGGTCAGGGTCTAGATGGCCTGTAATAAAACTCTTAAGGGAAGACTGAAAAGGTGGGAAAACTGTTTTTTTTTAATGCTTTCTAGTGGTAAAAGAGCTTCTATATTGGACTTTTTAGTTTTAACGTATCTGCCTTTGAGCTGTGGGGCAATTATGTTGTAGCCGTAGGCGGTTGGAGTTTACACTTGATTCCCTTTCCTTATGAGGAAACGACAGTGGCTAGGATGACTTTAAAGAAAAAAAATAGTAGAAGCATTAACTGAAATCCAAAAGTGTTTTTTTAAAGGCCTGCAGAGTTGACACAATACAGAAGGTATTTTTGCCGCTGCTCCTGAAGCTCTGACATCACCCAATGAAATAGGAAACATTTCAGGGATGGGACAACTTGTATTTGTTCCTTTTGCTCCACCTTCCATTTGCTTTCTCTGGACACCTTTAAAAAGGATGAATGGGCAGGATGAGTTTGAGTCTTTAGATGTATCATGTACTAAATCTTTAAAATGAAATTAATCCGTTTGGACTGCTTGCATCCTTCAGTGCAATTTTTAATGTCCAAACTAAATTGAATCCTCTGTAGGCAGACAATTTTGTTTAAATCCAGAATGCTTGTTCTGAATTACCATTCTTTGTTTATTTTCAGGCATCTGGAGTTACAGTGAATGATGAAGTCATCAAAGTTTTTAATGATATGAAAGTAAGGAAATCTTCTACACAAGAGGAGATCAAAAAAAGAAAGAAAGCAGTTCTCTTCTGTTTAAGCGATGACAAAAGACAAATAATTGTAGAGGAAGCAAAGCAGATCTTGGTGGGTGACATTGGTGATACTGTAGAGGACCCCTACACATCTTTTGTGAAGTTGCTACCTCTGAATGATTGCCGATATGCTTTGTACGATGCCACATACGAAACAAAAGAGTCTAAGAAAGAAGACCTAGTATTTATATTCTGGTGTGTAAAAACAAAAGAAAAAAGTACTTTTAAAATGCAAGGATAATTATTATCATAGTCAGTTTTGCCTTTGTTCTTCTTATAAGTGAGATTCAACAATTGTTTTTTTTGTTTTCATAGGGCTCCTGAAAGTGCACCCTTAAAAAGCAAGATGATTTATGCTAGCTCTAAAGATGCTATTAAAAAGAAATTCACAGGTACAAATATTGACTATTTTGTGTTAAGAAATTACTCTTTTCTAAGTATAATAAGATAATGGAATATTTTTTCTTTTTAGGTATTAAACACGAGTGGCAAGTAAATGGCTTGGATGATATTAAGGACCGATCAACACTTGGAGAGAAATTGGGAGGCAATGTAGTAGTTTCACTTGAAGGAAAACCATTATAAAATGACTATCAAGTGCCATCTGGATCTTAAGGGGTTTCATTTCTCCAGCTCAGTCCATTGGAATAGCATTAGGTGTTTTTTCATTTTTTTTTTTTTTTCCCTTTCCTCTGGGCCCTTCCAACACAGTGAATGAAGGAGATATCATTCATTTAAGCAGCCTGTCAGTGATTGCCATTAGACTCTTCAAAATGGTTATTTTTATGTAGAAGGAATGCCTTCCTGTCTTTATTTTAGCCAAAACAACTGGTTATATGCCTCCTTTGCAGCAAGCACTACAATGAATGTGATTGTCAATGTGAATAGTCTAGAATACTGCAAAGGGTAAGCAGATTGAATGCCTTGAAAGTATTATCCACTGGTCAGATGGTGAACTTTTTTCAGTATTATTATAGTTGCACTTGATTGTAGTTCTGTGAGGCGCTGGAGCATTCATACACCTCACCTGCCTTGGCAAGCCTTCTTTTGTGACATGGCAGCACGAATATAACACTATGCATTAAAAGCACTTTTGTTTTTTAAATGAGTTTAATCCCCCCAAAGGAATGCCAATTAAGTTTCATTAACTGTGTCATCAATTTATCCTAGTACCTCAGTGTTCATTCCTATTACCTACATATCTTCTTAAAAGAAATATCTGTTATTAATGCCTTTTTGTTTTCCATTGAGTGTACACTACTGAATAAGTGTAGGAGTTTTATGTTTACCATGTGAGTCTTGCGACACTAAAGATATTTTGAATATCAGTCATGATGGCAATTTCTGTATAAAAGAGCCTTAAATGGAACATTGTTTTGAGATCAAACTCCCCATCCTCACAAAAATGGCCACGTTGCAATAAAAATTGTGGCATGTTACAGAACGTTGCCTTGTTTTCCTTGGAAATTTTGCAAAATATTACGTAGAACCACTTTTAGGGTAAACAGCTATAAATTTCTGCACTGGTCATTTGAGAACTTTTTTTGTACAACATTCATGCATGATATTTTCCAGATTTGTTGGATTTCTTTGGTTTAAACAATATTCTATCCTTAAAGACACCTAATATAAAATACCATTAGTAAAGAGTGGTACTTTTTTAAACATGTTTATTTATTTCTTTATGTGGTAATATGGAGAGCAGTTTTTTTTGTTTTTTGGCTTTTGGTTTTTGCACTTTGACATAAATATCCTCAATATCTCATTTGTTCTCCAGTTATTTTTTTATTCACATTTACACTTAGAAATAATTGAGTAGAAGCAGCAGGAAATTTTTGTTGCTTATTGGGTCAAAATAATAATTTGTTAAATGTCCTTCAAAAGTTTAATGCTTCTGATATTTAGAAATATTCATTTTCACTACTGTAATAGAATTAGAAAAGAATTGGTAGTCTTAAACATTACTGGTGGGATTTGGCAGTGGTCCAGATTGCTCTCCTTATAGAGAATTTGATCTACTCAGTGTGAGCAGTTTGCTGTTAGCCAGAGCTATTTATGGCAAACACATGCTTTTGTATCTTGTCATAGTTATCCACAAATGGCAAAACTGGACTTGATTCTACTGGTATGCAAAATAGGCATGCTAGTAAGCAGTGAATTGTGGCTCAGAACTTAAGTCCATGTTTCTGAAGAATGCTTTTGTCAGAAAAAAAGAAATGGAAATATCCCTTTTTAAATATTTTTTTAAAGTATTTAGAAGTAATTTGAGTTTAATTAGGGTTTTTTTCGTATTTTTAAAAGTTTTTAGATAAGAACATTAAAAAGATTATATGTCTAGGCTTCTATTTAAAACTGTATGAATGGCTTGGGATCTTTTTCGCACTGAGCAATTTTATTTCAGATTTCCAACTGTCCATGTGAGTTGTCTTAGACATTTTGATGACTTTTTGGAAAGGCCAAATTTTTAATAATCAAAGCAGGAGAATGCTAATATATACTAAACCCTATGTGTAACATACTTGCACCATGGCATTTTTCATTATTTCCTCATTCTAGAAAATAAGGGATTTCTTAAAAAACAAATAAGTTATCAGAGTATCTTTGATCTTTATAACTAATTCCTTGACTTCTTTATATGCTCTTTAATAATTTCAGAGATTAAATAACTTCTTTAAACTACAATATTTTGATTTGTTAGATTGATAAAATAGATATTAACATAGTTATTTTATATATATATATATATATATAATATATATATATATATATAAAATTAGTTTTAGCTGGACATAATATCTTTATTTTTATGTGGTGCTGAGTATCAAACCCAGCGTTTCACACATGCTAGGCAAGCGCTTTACTGCTGAGCCACAACCCCAGCCCTAGTTAAGTTCATCTTTGAAATACATCTTTGTGCACAGAGCTAAAAATTATGATATCATTAATAATAGATCACATGTTGAGACTAATTTGGCATTTGAAATGATCATTTTTATTTTATAATCATTTCTAATGAAACAATGTTCCAGTTAGCTTTAAAATATATACGGTGCTAATTAGTAAAATATATTAAAGACAGTATTTTACTGCTAGCTTGCAAAATTATAAGTGTTTAAAAAATAAAATACATGAAAATATTTAAAGCTGTTAAGATGTGTTTACTTACACTTTGGAATATTAAAAGGTGAAAAATTAAGAGCAAAGAGGCACCATTATCTGTAGTCTTTTTCAGGATTTTAGTTGATGAACTTTTTCATGTAGAGATATATTTTCTTTGAAAACTGAATGTTGAAGCAATTTTAGCATTTTCAGACAAATAGGAACAGTTGGCATTTGTCCCAAACTGGCTGTCAGCTGTCGTTTTCCATCATTATCTAAAATAGTGTGACCGGCGTTGTGTATTTAATGTGCCTTTATACTAGATTAGAAGAAAAGCCTCTTAGTAGTTTTGAGTTTCTCTGATATAGATCCTTTGTAGCAGCTAATTTATGGAATCCAACAAATGGATTTTGGGAGAAAATTCTTTTAAAAACTGTTCTCTTGTTAAGGAAAGATCTCAGCAATGGTAAATCATTGAGGGGTTTGACACACTTTTTGCTAGGTTTTCCTCTTTTATAAAATCATGTTCTGTTCTTATTTTTGTTTGTAATGGTAGTTGGAGATTTTTTTAAAAATGTGAATTTTCACTTTTTTATGAAAATATTAACACTACTAGAGATGTACAGGCAGGCTCCACTGAATATTGCTTTTCAGACAACGTAAGTTTAGAGATGTTGTATCTTATCTCAGGCAGTAAAGAAGTCAGGTTCTTTTCTATGCTCTGAAACATCCAAATAATTGCTTGCTTTCTGTGTACAATTGGAACTTAACCCTCCAATCCAGTTTCCTCTCAGTGCAACTGAGCAAATTAATCTCTCTGACCCTTAGTTTTTTAAATTAATAACATGGAAATGATAATGTCTTTACTGTATCTGGTTGCTGAGTCAAATATAAAAATGCTTTTTGGAAATAGGAAAGTGCTATGTAACTGTAATAATTTGTTTAAACCATGTACCCTTAATAAGTGTAATCAAATAGATGAAAGAACTATGTTAAAAATAACATATCATTGAGCCTCTATTTTTATAACTTCCATTTAATTACATGAAGACTGATTGGCTGATACATAGCATCTTTTTCAGAAGTATAAAATGTATTGTTAGCTCAGAATTACAGCTTCTGGATTGATGTCCATGGCTACTTTTTTTTTTTTTCCCCATGACTGCTTTTAATCTTTTTAGTGTAATTTTCTTTTTCACGTGTGAATAGATAGATAATGGTCTTTTTCCCAAAATAATTTTGAAGTAAAGAGAAAGCTAGAAATCTATGGAATATTTGTCATAAATGTATGATTGTTGAAATACCGTAACTTTTTTTTTTTTTTTTTAATGTTTTTTGTTACTGGGAATTGAACCCAGGGGCCCTTTACCACTGAGCTATATATCCAATCCTTCTTATTTTTTCAGACAGAATCATGCTAAGTTTCTGAGGTTCTTTCTAAGTTGCTGAGACTAACCTCAAGTTTGGGATCCCGTCTCAGTCCTTTGAGTCATTGGGATTACAGGTGTGTGCCTGTATCCAGCTGAGATTTTTGTTTTCTTTAGAAAGTTCATGCCCATGAAATCTGAAATATTTTATGTTTCCAAGATTTTTTGAATGTTTCAGTATTATAAATTTATAGAATTATGAAAAATAAGGATTATATATACATGTTCCAGAAAGCTAAGATTTCATGCCTGTAATCCCAGCTACTTGGGTGGCTGAGGTAGGAGGATCACAAGTTCAAGGCTAGCCTAGGCAACTTGGTGAGACCCTGTCTCAAAATAAAAGGGCTGGGGATGTAGCTCAGAGGTAGAGTGCTTGCCTAGCATCTGCAAAGGCTTGGGTTTGATCCCCAGTACTATACTTTTTTGAAAAAGAAAAAAGCATCTCTCTTAATCTTTTTCCAAAAACTTGGATATATCCCTTCCCATGTTCCTCTACCCGTTTTTCTAGAAAGATTACTGTATTTATAGTGGTTAGGTACTAGGACTTTGATATCAAAGACTGCTTGGGTTACACATGCAGACCATTAATACTAGTTGATCTTAGGCAAATCATTTAACATCTGAAAGCCTTAATTGTTCCATCTTTAAAATGGAGATAATTGTGCCCCCTATAATAGAATTGTGAGAATAAATGAAGGCACTTGTAATACTTCCTGGCACATAGTAAGTGCTCAGTAGAATGGTGCTAAAATTTTGATCCAATCATGTGAAAGAGCTATTATGTCATGACAACAAGCTTAAGATAGACCAATCCCAAGCAAATTAGGAATTGTGGTCATCATATCAAAAAGGAACCAGACGCAGTGGCATACACCTGTAATTCCTGCAGCTCAGGAGGCTGAGGCAGGAGGATTGTGAGTTCAAAGCCAGCCTCAGTAATTTAATGAAGCCCTAAGCAACTCAGTGAGACCCTGTCTCTAAATAAAAAGGGCTAAGTGCCCCTGGGTTTCTTCCCCAGTACTTAAAAAAAAGAATAGGCTGATATTAAAATGTAATAGTTTATTTATAATGAGCTGCTTTGAAGACTCAAGGTCATCATTTATTTATTTCAATTATATAAGCCCATGAAGTATATTAAGTACAGTAATTAACCTCGGAAGAATTGACTTTGCCTTTTTATAGCTTTCTTTGGGATTTTGATACTGGTAAACTGACAGTTTACTATATTTTGCTGTTGTGGTATGGTCTCTGTAGCACTTGCTAATTGTTGCTTTTGGACCTTATGGACTAGGAAAACCAGGTTCATTATAACTGTATAAGAAAGTGAATAGACTGAGAAGGGAAGGATTGAGAGGAAAATGCTGGCACATTTTTTTTTATTATTTATTTTGCCCATTTAAAGAACTGGTGTACTTTTAGGGTCTTGGTTTTAATTTTTTTTTTTTTTTACAAGTAAGGTTTATAAAATAGCTGAGCTTTACATAAATACTGTATCCCACTGAGGTGTATCTAAAATATCATTAAGGAAGTTGTATTTGTCTTTGTAGCTGTATCAGTAAAAAGACACAAGAAATTTATTTCATTATTGAGAGAAGGAAGATTTAATATTATTTGCAGAGCTACGAATTGAACCCAGGGCTTTATACATGCTAGACAAGCACTACTGCTGAACTATACCCCCAGCCCTAAGGAAGTTATATTCTCAATAATTTTTTTATATTATTGAAGCAAGTAAATAAGATACAAAAACTGATAAGAAAGTAATCTAAAAATGTAACCAGGCTCTATAGCACCTACTTTAATCCCAGCGACTCTGGAGGCTGACAGGAGGATTGGTAGTTCGAGACTAGCCTTAGAGGTTGAATGAGACCCTAAGCAACCTAGCAAGATCCTGTCTCAAAAAATAAAGAAAGGGTGG